CCGCTCATCCGGGTTACCGCCCAGAATGTGACGTCGGTGAAAACCGTCTATATCCTGTGCACTTTACGACCTAAAATAATCTAGAAAAACAGAATGAAATACAGTTTTAGTGACATTAAACAAGTGCAAATTAACCGTGAGGAATATCTTAACTATAGCACTTGAAATAAGCCTCCTGAATCAGTTCTCATTGTGGATCTGACAGCTCCTATAGGCTCCAGTGGCCTCATGGGATAGCAAGTGTCCCAGCAGATATTTAATCTGTATGTTATTCGTGTGCTGTTTGATGAATACTACTTTTTGCGTACTGTACACAGGTCTCTCATTTTATGCATGTATTCGATGAACGTACATTTATATGTGCACAAAACATTTAAGGTGCATGGAGGAGGACAATTTCAGCTGAATAATCTTCTATAGAAAGGCGTCATAATACACTGCTGCTTTACACGACAGTAAAGTATATTGTCACATTGGGTTGCATGACCTCCCTGTGATGTAATAATGTTAATGGATATGGATTTTAGCGAAGGCCAAATACTGCCCCGTTGGATAACAACTATAATAACTTGAAACCTATATTTCCATAGAACGTAATGGAACAACAATGCTAGAATGTTTTTTGCTAGGTGGTTGTTTACTGGCTCAAGTCATTAGAGTCATACGTGAACAGTACGCAAAAAGTCACATTCATCAAACCGCAAAGTAAGTCTCTATGATATTCTGGACCCTTGAGATGGCTCAAGTAACACCTTCGTGATGTATGATCTTTTGTAAATTGTAAATCTAGTTACTTTAGTGAGTGAAAATGTGGTCATTTACCACATTTCTGTGGAAAACAAAAGAAGATATTGTGAAAGTGGGAGCATTATCGTTCGGGACCCAATTGACCTTTATTAAATCGACTAAAACGGTAGAAATGTTCTTTAAAATATCATAATTAGTGTCCAGAACTATTATTAGTTATATTATTAAATATTAAATATTATTATAATATTAAAATATTATATATTTTAGTACTATTTTTTTATACTATTATATTTATATTTAGTTCAAGTTCAGTTTAAGGTATTTAGATCTTATTTCAGTTAACAAAAGTGATTTTTTTATTATTATTGCTGTCAAAATGATTAATCGCGATTAATCACATCTAACAAAAAAGTTTGTAAAAATAATATATGTGTGTGGTTTTATATATAGAGGCTACATGTACATGCACACACATATATATTGTATATATACAAACTTTTTGACACCAGTATTTTTATATGGTTTTAGTTTAATAGTTTTGTTTTAGTTGACGATAACAAGGCTGTACATAAAACAAGAAAGGTCGTAAAGGTTTGGAATGACATGAGGGCATGAAGTTTTCAGTTTTGGGTGAACTATCCCTGTAAGTATGAGATTTATGTGCTGAGATATTAAACGGCAAGAAGAAAAAAAGGAGTTTGGTATGTCAGAGTAACATTAACTGCATTATCCTACAGAATATATGATGTTTTTCATGGTCATTAGAGCATTGTTTCCTCTTGTTGACTTCATTAAATTTCAGCCAAAGTGATCACGGATGTTGCACGGGAAGGAGAGGAAACAGACATGGAGAGAAAGAGAGAGGGATGGGGTCATGGGGGATGAGTGGGCATATGCCAGTTGTTAAGAAACTGAGAGAGATGGGGACCTACAGAGGAATGCTGGAGGGATGAGAGACGAGAGAGAGGGAGCGAGAGAACAAGAGAAGGCTAGAGGGCTGATATTTAATGTGATAAATGGATTGTGACAGCGTGTCTCCAAACCCCCTCCAACCCGAGAGGAAGACCACAGAAATAGAAGGCAGGGCTGGGGAGGGGAACATGGATTTAAACAAGAAGGATAGAAAACTGACAAAACGGATCAAAAGTAACAAATGTTCTTGCTAATTTTACTCTTAACTACATGATGCCATTACTAGGAAATCCCCATATAGGAATGTGAAGTTAAAGTGAAGTGAATTCCTGTCATTTACTCACCAGCATGTCATTTCAAACCTGTATGACTTTCTTTCTTTAGTGAGACAAATTCTGAAGGCTGTGCTGTTGATCTTTTCCATGCAGTGTTAGTCAGTGGGGTTCAGGAAATAAAACTGGTCCATGTGACATGATGTTTGAAGCAAGGTTATTTTTGCCATCATTTAAATACTATTATGGTGTTTTATTTCTATTGCAATTTCAATTTCAGATAAATGCTTCTATTTATCTTTAATTTATGTTGTTTTTTTGTTTTTAGAAATCTTACTTTATTTTGCCATGGTAACATTTCTAATTCTTTCATTCGTTTTCATTTAATATTTATATTTTGTTTTATTTCGGCTTTATTCAGTCTCTTTAAATCCATCCTTTCCAAGAGTCTACTCTGCTCTGATTGGTCAGGTGGCCCAGTCTGTTGTGATTGGTTTACTCTGCTCTGATTGGTCAGATTTTCCAGTCTATTGTGATTGGTCTACACTGCTCTGATTGGTCAGACGCCCCAGTCTGTTGTGATTGGTCTACTGTGCTCTGATTGGTCAGACCCCCCAGTCTGTTGTGATTGGTTACTCTGTTCTGATTGGTCAGACGCCCCAGTCTATTGTGATTGGTCTACTCTGCTCTGATTGGTCAGGCGGCCCAGTCTGTTGTGATTGGTTTACTCTGCTCTGATTGGTCAGATGTCCCAGTCTATTGTGATTGGTCTACACTGCTCTGATTGGTCAGACGCCCCAGTCCGTTGTGATTGGTTACTCTGTTCTGATTGGTCAGACACCCCAGTCTGTTGTGATTGGTTACTCTGTTCTGATTGGTCAGACGCCCCAGTCTGTTGTGATTGGTCTACTCTGCTCTGATTGGTCAGATGGCTCAGTCTGTTGTGATTGGTCTACTCTGTTCTGATTGGTCAGACGCCCCAGTCCGTTGTGATTGGTCTACTCTGCTCTGATTGGTCAGACACCCCAGTCAGTTGTGATTGGTTTACTCTGTTCTCATTGGTCAGAAGGCCTAGTCTGTTGTGATTGGTCTACTCTGTTCTGATTGGTCAGGTGGTCAAGTCTGTTGTGATTGGTCTACTCTGCTAGATTGGTCAGACGGTCCAAGCCTGTTGTGATTGGTCTACTGCTTTCAGCATGTTGAAAACAAAATGTCCATTACCATATCTGAATTTCAACTTTGGATGCTTACACATCGCTTTAATACACACATTAATATTAACAGTAACGTTGGCATCTGTTTTTTCATATAAATTCCAGCGTGAGTCCTCGTCCTTTTGAAGTGCATCAAAGTGGATTCTCTGAGCTGAAAACAGCGTCTTCTTAACATGAACATCACTAACCAAACGCTTCCAGGCTCAGCTACAACTACAAGTGTCTGAGGGTCAAAGTCGCCATTGTTCACAGGCAGCCAATGAAAACCATAGACTGGCATTATGCAAATGTGTTACATTGTAACAAACAAGCTATATTAAATACTACATGAAAGGTAATATTTGAAAAGCATAATGGGGCACTTTAAGTCTTTTTACTTTTATTCACTGAAAATCTTAACTTCCTTTCTAGTGATTCATAAGTAATACTGAGTCTAGAGTCCTGAATCAGGCACAACTTTTGTGAAACTTATCTTATTTACTTTAGTGCTTTAGTGTCTTTTTTTTTTTGGGTTTCATTTTGAATCTTTAAAAAATTCAAAATGAAACCCAAAAATGAAAGTTCTGGACAACCACACACACACACACACACACACATTTGGGTGAACTATCCCTTCAAGTCTCCATTCCTTATACTATTATATATGGAAAAGAGAAAACTAGTACTCTTCACAATTTCTCCGTTTGTTTTCTACAGAAGAAAGAATGTCATGCAGGTTTGCGACAATGTGAGGGTGTATAAAAATTATGATGACTTTCATTTTTGAAAAGATTGCAAACTGCGTCCTGGTGGACCTGGAAAAAGACGGAAAGAAAGTAAAAGAAAGACAGAAACTTGTACTGAACGAAGAAAAGAAGAATGCTGGGAAAATATGAGTTGCCCTTACTTAATTTACAACATTCTTGATTTCAGTCCAATTAAAGATCCACAACTCAGGCTCTGAATGAAAGCTTTCATTGTAAGTCAGTTCTTCAAGCTGGAGACTCGGGTTTGTCTGGAGTATCAAATATCCTCCTGTGTGTCAGAGAAAGAGAGCGACTCTGGTGGATACCATGTTTTGCGGGTGAAGAAATGTGTCTGGAATTTGGTATCAAGGGACACGTTCCTTCTTCCGAAAAACCACATTGACTTACTCAGACGATTGATTGTAAGAGTGAATTTGCTCAGGAGATGTAGACGTAAAATCCTGCGTTTCAGTTGCTTGTTTTGGTCAGTCGTATGAACTTTTCATAATGTCAGGTTTTATTCATTTAATAATTTCCATCATTAATTACGTACCCTAATATCATTGCAAACCCCTCAGACTTTCTTTCTTCTAAGGAATATTTAGCCCCTATTTCACATGCATGGTTTAAGTCTAGTCTCAAACTAAAATACATGTTTGAGTTGTCTGAACTGAAAGCAACTTACCCTAAAATTCGTCAGTGCCATTGTTTTGTCTCAAAATGCACACCACCAGTAATGTTTTTTTTCTAAGGCACGTTAATAAAAGCAATTTAAATGTCCTAATATTGAATAAAGGCCTAATCCTGTCTTAATCTAAACCCTCTCTGTGAAACCAGGCCATACTGCTAAAGACTCGTTGCACGTTGAATGCCAGTGATTGGTTGTCATGTGTCACATGACTGATCGCAATGCAGCAAGGCTGAATAGATATATAAATGATTCAAATATGATTGAGAAGTGTGGTTTTTGTGTGAACGTATTCTCTCATTATCCTAATATAATATCTGACAGTTTTATTAACATAATCAAATAGTTTTTACATACTTTGTTGCATTTTAACTTGCGCTGCAATTGCACTGTTTTTGTTGTACAAACACTAATATTTGTAATAATAATTGTGTTTCAGTGCGGACGGCGCGGTTCTCTCAGGAGCCTGCAGACCAGTCAGTGGTTCTGGGCCAGAGGGTGGTCCTGTCCTGCGTGGTCTTCAACTATTCGGGCATTGTGCAGTGGACCAAGGATGGGCTGGCCTTAGGCATCGGAGAAGACCTCCGGGGTCAGTGAAACATAGCGCTCTTTCTTTCTTTCTTTCTTTGGCCTTTCATATTTTTATATCTAAAGATTTATCTAGTGGAATAGTAGGTGTTCATTTAAGCCATTAGCGTGTTTATATTCATTTAATTACTTTAATATATAATGAGGAAAAATACTAAACCATAATGAGTGTTTAATATATGTAGGCGTAATATATAGCTTATTCCACTCTCAAGCGCACACATAAAACATGCTGCAAAGCACCGGCTGAAGCAATGATTATGAATGTGTCGGCAAAAACAGCAGGGAGACATTTTAATTGTTTATAAATAAACTAGTGTTTTCTGAGTCAGTGTCGGCTGCAAAGATGAATTTGACAATGCTGACTTGCCGTCTCTGCTGTAAAGTGAATGCTCCTTATTCACAACAACTATAATAACTTGAAACCTATATTTCCATAGAACATGTGATGGAACAATAATGCTAGAATGTTGTGGGTGGTTAGTAACCACAAAGTGATTATGCAGTTGTTTAATAATCGCACCGGTGCCTCCATGTCATGCAGTGCTAACACTTCAGCTTCCACACTCCCAAACACTTAATAATAATAATAATAGTGTACATTTATCTAGGTTACCGTTAGATAAAGTTGCTATTACTTGTTTCAAATGATGAGCTATATTTCAGGTTGATGGATGATCGGCAAACGTTTGGATTTCCTGGCCAACATATTATCACACGGACCCGCCGTTAACCATCTGTCCTCCACGGACTGCGTAACTTCGCCACTTCCTGTGAAGTTGTTTTATTTTCTGCGACTAACTGACTAATGAAATGTTGGTCAACTAAGGGCCCGTTTACACAACACCGTTTTCAACTAAAAACAGAAATCCTTGAATGCATTTTGGCCATTCATTTACACGACAACAGCGTTTTGGAACCGGGTTTCAAAGTGCAAGTTTTGGAAAATGATACCGTTATTTTCTCCGTGTGAACTACAAAAACACGAATTTGTGAAAATGGTGATGTCACACACGTGTATTACGTGTTAAGTCTATAGGCGTTTCTTTACAAAGTGACATCGCCAACTACTCTTTGGCAGCAGAATACAGCGTTTTTAAAGTAGTTCACTTTTAAAAAAACTTTTGCTGCTAATTTACTCACCCCTATGCCATCCAAGATGTCCATGTCTTTCTTTCTTCAGTCGAAAAGAAATTAAGGTTTTTGATGAAAACATTCCAGGATTTTTCTCCATATAATGGACTTCATTGGGAACCAAACGGTTCAAGGTCCAAAAGACAGATTCAGTACAAAGTGCAAACTGTTCAAAGGGCTTTAAACGATTCCAGACGATGAATAAGGGTCTTATCAAGCAAAATGATCGCTCATTTAATACATAAATAAAAAGGTTTAAGTTTTATAAGTTTTAAGTTTTCTCCTGTTCAAACTCGTACATCAAAATGAACAGATCTTCTTCTGAGTCATTTGGTTCATTCAACGAACGAAATGAACGAATTGACTCGGAAAAAGATCCATTCATTTTGATAAACGAGTTCGAACAGGAGTCACGAACGCGCATCACAGAACAGAGCAAGACGAGTTTAGTCGACTATAAGGGGGCAGGCCTACTACAAAACCAATCACCTTAGCAAACACTTGGAAAGACTAAACACACTCACAAAACAGCCAGGAGAACGTAGCAATAGATTGGCAACACATTTCCTTCATAAAATTTAAGAATGTGTGTATTTTATTCTTTCTCTTAAACTTTTTAGTTTTCCCTATGCACACCCTTTCAGTTTCATCTCTCATCTGTCTCTCTGTTTCCCTGTTTGCTTGTTTTCTGTCTAACTTTTATTCTCTCTTCCATTTTGCTTTTCTGCTTTCTGCTCCACTAGCTCATCTTTTCTCGCTCCTTGTGGACTGTCATGAGAACAGAGAGGGCAGGATGTGGTATTTTTAACCTCTGCCATTATAAATAGATAAATGTGGACCTGATAAACTACATTTGCTGCATTTGCCAGATTTGTTAAAAGACATGAGGCATGAGGGAGATTTCTCTTTCTTGCTCTCTCTCTCTCTCTCTCTCTCGCTCTCTCACTTTGACTCAGTGTAGTTGTATTTACCCTGTGATGCTTCACTGGTTTGTCCCCTTGGCTTTCATATAAAAGCATGCACTCACACACATACACAAATGTGCACACACAGAAATACATCCGCACGTACTCAGCGGTGCACAGCACACACTGACAACTCAATCCAACAGTAGAGAGAGGGCTGTGTGGGTTGGGGATGCGTGATGTAATTCACAGCAGAATTTTTGTCATTTCTCTTGCAGCAGAAGCTGGAAATGTCCATGTCATAGCGCTAGCATATATCACGCAAACTCTACTGGCATCCAGTGGTGGAGAACATCACTGCACTGCAAGCTAGGTTTTTTCCTTGTTAGTAGGCAAGCTTCTCTTACTATTGCTTAGAGATCTGAGATTTGAACCTTAAGTATTAAAACCATTTTTGTGGTCTTTATTTTCACTTGGGCCAATAGACAACCACCCAAAAATCCCTAGCAAGTGCAAAACCAAAACACATAGCAACCATAGACTGTAAAAAATATGGACAAAGCGTCTGTGACGTCACCCATAGACTCTCTGAAGAACGGATTTGAGGCTGTTTATGGGGGGTATGGACGGCGCCATACTGGAAAATCTTGGAAAATACAAAAGTTTCAGAAAGGATACAGAGGTGGTATGATGTGTTGTGTCAGATCATGGCCGAGACGTCAAATTCACTCGGCGCAGCCCGTTACCAGCTGTCAATCAAAGTTAACCGCCCTTATTTGTCATATGTTTTATATCTAAATATGATCTAAACTAAAGAGTTAGAAAAAAATTAACCCCCCTCACAGTTGTCAGGCACGCGGAACATATTGAAGATTACAATAAAAGTCCATGGGAGCAAACTGTAAACATATGAATTTATGCTGTGAAAACGGACATTATAACATGACGTCTATGGATATTTGCTCCCTTTTGGGACCGGCCTCTAGCGGATTTGAGATGGATTGCAGTTTATCGCACTTCCGGGTAGGCTTCATCTTTCAGATTAGAATGTTGCCGCTTGATAGCAACACAGATTTACAAAACAGGGCAAATTAGCGTGAGAGTGTAATTCCCAAAAAATGTAGATGTGAGTGGAAAGTTCTACAAGTCAGCTACTGACGAAATGACCATCGCAATCTACCAAGAGCAGTATTTAGCGCCGTCTTTTTTGGGGCGGTAAATGATGGCGGAAATATAGACCAGTATATTGTCTAGCGAAAACCTTAGTAAATCACCTTGCGTGATTCAATTCAAATTAAATACTCTCCTCCCATAAATTTTGCATCTGAAAAAGAAACTCCGACAAATGCATATGCAATAGAGTGCCGAAGTGATGACGTCACTTTGTAGGACAACTCGGAAGCTAGCGGCGCATGGGTTCCCTCGATCGAAAAGCAATGCATTTTCCCCATAGACTTTTGGAAAATCGCAAAAAATAAGATCTGTGTTTAACAAAGAGTTGTGAGCCTTACACGTTTTGTTTATCAAGATAATCTTTACAAGTTAATCAAAATGTATACATTTTGAAGCATTTTAAAAAACACAGACACAATAAAGTTTAAAAAAACCACAAGCAGGTTATAACTGTGTGTTCTTCTATGTCATAGATCAAAACGTGAAAATATTTAGAGGCTTTGTTCACCACAGACCTTATACCAGGCGATTTAGCAAAAACCCATTCAAAAATCCCATAGACTTTAGAGCGAACCAGTAGTGCTAAATGCTAACTCACTTCCGCGTTTTGGCCTACAGAGTGACGTCGTAACTTCGGCACTCTATAAGGCCGGCCGCAAAAGTAACCATCCAAGGCTTTTCCGCACAAATTTTTCACTGCGTGTCTTTAGTAAATCCTGACAGTTGGTTTTTTTAAGACAAAAGATGGTTTGCACTGGCTCAAGCTGTTCGTAAATCTGGCCCTAAGAACACTTTCACACAGAGCTTGTTTTTTATTTATTTCACTATGCTCTTTTCCATTGTTTTTCAATGTAAAATCAGGGTTCCCACTGGTCCTTGATATCCTTGAAAGTTTGTGAATCAGTAAAAAAAATATTCAAGGCTTGAATTTATTTTGTGAAAGAAGTGTTCTGGAAAAAAAATCCATATCATATTATTCCGATCAGCTAATGTGTTATTTCACCAAAACTTTGTGGCCTGTGGATACTAGGTTGGTTGATTTATGTTGGTTACGCTTATTTACGTGTTGCGTGTATGTTGCCATGGCGTTCACACATGGACGAAACTACTACAATGTACCTGAACGTTTATTGTTGGACAAACTAAGTCCTTAAATTTGAGAGTATTGGACCTGGAAAGTCCTTGAAAGGTCCTTGAATTTGAAGTTAACCAAGGTGTGGGAACCCTGGTAAAAATTCCAATCATCTTTTGGCGGTCGTGGTTTTTTGCAGCGTCTTGCGCATAACCACTCTAAAAATGTTGAGCTTTTATAAAACGTGTCTTGAGACCATGCCTGTGTCTCTTTTTTTTTTTTTTTTTTTTTCGCGTTTTGTGTGAATGGCCCTTAAAAGCTATCAGAACACTGTAGCAACCACATAGCAAAACATTAAAAACCACTCTGAATGCTTTAGCAACCTCATTGCAACACACAAGAAACTACCCAGAATACCCTAGTGACTGCATTACAACACACTAAAAACCAATCAGACCACTCACTTTTCTTTCAGAAAATGCAAAATAGCTCAGTCAGTGTGTTTTTGTGTAAAGATAATAAAGACTATCTACCTCCAAAACGTGACAAATTCTGATGTGCGTGTCTTTTGGCAGCCTGGCCCCGGTATCGTGTGTTAAGGCTGGTGGATGTTGGGCAGTATAATCTGGAGATCTCGGCCGCTGAACTCTCAGATGACTCTCTCTACGAGTGCCAGGCGACGGAGGCTGCGCTGCGCTCACGACGGGCCAAACTCACCGTCCTCAGTGAGTCTAGTGTTTGCTTAGAAAAGAACCTCTATGGTCATGATTTCTACAGCTGGTTGTTTTAAATGTTGACTATGATGGTTTTGCCTGAATGCGACACTCTTAGAAGAAATGGTTCTATTTAGAACCAGAAATGGTTCCATCCCCCGCTTCATATATGGAACTCCAAAATGGTTCTATATAGAACCATTTTTTTGGGTAAAAGGTTCCAAAATTGGCCAAGTATGGAACCCCCAGGGTTCTACATAGAACCCAGAGGAATCATTTTTTTTAAGAGTGTATAGAACCTTTTAGGGGTTCCAAATACGTAGCTCTAATAGAACCTTTTAAGGTTCTATATAGAAACTTTTCTTCTAAGAGTGAATGAGTGAATGGGTTAATGTGTTATGAAATGAATAGATTTATGAGTTGCTTCCATTAATAATTGAACTCCACATGTGTCTGTGTCGTTGTGTAGTTCCTCCAGATGAGCCGGTGATTGAGGGGTCCCCGGAGATCCTACTCACAGCAGGGGTCCCCTATAACATGAGCTGTGTGTCCCGTGGAGCCAAACCTGCCTCCGTCATAGAGTGGCAGAAAGACGGCCTGCCGATTGAAGGGACTGTCAGCACCACGGTGAGGCACACACACACACGCCAAAGTTTTGACTCGTCTGTGTTTAAATGTATATAATAGCATATTTAGCTCAATAACAAAGGTATCAACCATAGGCTGTGAAACAAGAAGGAGCCAGCTAATAATTTTACGTTCTGGGAACGTTAGTTTTTGGTTCCCAGAATGTTCCCAAGAACGTTCCCTATTGGTGATCCAAGAAAGTTTTCTTAACGTGAATAGAACGTTCCTTTAAGTTTAGGGGAACGTTCTGGAAACTTTATGGGAACGTTCCTTTTAGGTTATAAAAATAGAACCTAAAAATAACCTTCAGGGAACATTCCCAGAACGTTCTCCTCAGGTTATAAAAATAGAACATATAACCCATCCTAGAACGTTCTTGTTTGGTTCCCAAAAAAATAACCAAATGGGAACCACACAGGAACGTTAGGGGAACGTCCTGTGTTTGCTGGGGACGAGCGTGTCTCCGCTTCCTTCCACTGTTGAAGGAAAATATCCAAAATACCCCAGTGGACACACACACACCCGTAGCCAGAGTTTTTGCAGTAATGGGCCTGCGGTATCGAGGTCTCGCCCACACTCTCTCTCCCTCAGACTCAATCGCATCACAGCTGTCAATCACGACGTTACACCCTGTTTATAGCATCAAATAACTGATTAAAATCAAACGAACACTTGAACATGTGTCTACTAAAAATGACAGAAACCGTCTTTAAAAAAAAGATATTTTAAGTGCAATTGGATTTATTAGTTTGACTCGCGTCCCATTTGATTACATGGAGAGGGCAGGGTTTATGACCTATACTGCAGCCAGCCACCAGGGGGCGATCAAAATGCTTTGGCTTTACTTTTCAGCACTTTTGTGGCACACTTGGTATTAACCAAGGGGGTAATCCACCAGCCGGAAGTTGCGGACATAATATGTAAACACAAACTTTTATTTTGGATGCGAATATTCGTGATTAATCGTTGCTCAGCTCTAGATGCATCATTAGACCGTTATACAGAAGCCATCTTCCATACTGGAACGGTCAAAGCTGGTGTGTGAACATTCGAGAGCATGTTGACTGAGCGTCTGCAAACGTAGTTAGACGCATATCTACAGTATATCTGAAACTAAACTAACACAATACAACAAGACGAAGGCATTAGCTAACACAACATTAAAAATTTTCCATAGTTTAAAAATCTGGCTACGTATCTCTGGTATCAACAATATGATTTTGTTGCGCAGGAGGTGCTTCAAGACAGGAAACGCGTGACCACACGCAGCTTCCTGCCCATTCTACCAGTGGATACAGACACTGGGAAGAACTTCACCTGTGTGGCTACTAACCTGGCCGTGCCGATGGGCAAACGGACCACTATCACCCTCAACGTACACCGTGAGTATTGAACCCTTTCCAGCTATAGTAACAATTATGAGGAAAGTTATTTTAATTGTCTGTGGTGCAGTGTAAAAAATATATATTTCAGACATATCCACCTTATTTTGCAACGCATAAGCTATTTTCTGTGAATGTGTAAGACTTGTGATTCATTAGAAGAAATAAAATGCACAAAAAATAATCACTGTTAGCGCTACACTCCAGTGTATTTATAATTACGGCAATATGTTAAAATAATATGGTAAGAATTACCAGTTTTCAATAGTTCGAGTTGTTTTGTACAACTAATCATAACTGGAAACTGGAGACAGGAAGCCAGACACATTCAGTTTACAAATGGCTGGGACACTTTTACGTGAAAAATAAGGTGGATAAATATACATTGAAACTAAATAATACATCAGGCAATAGTTTGTATTATGCATACACTGCCATTCAAAAACTATTTATTTTAAATTGTAATAATATTTCACAACCTTGCTGTTTGTTTATGTATTTTCTATTATATAAATGCAGCGCTGTTGAGCATAAGATACTTCTTTTAAAAACATCTTACCAACCCAAATTGAACTTTAAGGCATGTACAATATGGTAATGAATCATCCGTTTTGGACTGTGATGGGCCAATATGAATCAAGAGCTCCTTTTTTTAGTCTCAGTCCATTCCTGGTGCCATTGTTTCTCTCAAAGGAGTAGTTCACTTTAAAAAAAAAACTTTTGCTGATAATTTACTCACCCCCATGTCATCCAAGATGTCCATGTCATTCTTTCTTCAGTCAAAAATAAATTAAGGTTTTTGATGAAAACATTCCAGGATTTTCTCCATATAATGGACTTTAATGGGAACCAAACGGTTCAAGGTCCAAAAGACAGTTTCAGTGCAGCTTCAAAGGGCTTTAAACGATTCCAGACGATGAATAAGGGTCTTAGCAAGCGAAACGATCGCTCATTTAAAAACAAAAATGAAAAAAATGTTTAAGTTTTATAAGCTCAAATGGTTCTGTGATGCGTGTTCATGACTCTCCTGTTCGAACTCGTTTATCAAAATGAACGAATCTTTTTTCGTGTCATTTGGTTCATTCAACGAACAAAATGAGTTGACTCAGGAAAAGATTCGTTCATTTTGATGAACGAGTTTGAATAGGAGAGTCACGAAAGCGCATCACACCCTAACCCTAACAGAGCAAGGCGACCATTTGAGTTTATAAAACTTAAACTTTGTCTTTTTTTTTTTTAAATGAGCAATCGTTTCGCTTGATAAGACTCTTATTCATCATCTGAAATCGTTTAAAGCCCTTTGAACAGTTTGCAGTTTGCACTGAAACTATCTTTTGGACCTTGAACCGTTTGGTTCCCATTGAAGTCCATTATATGGAGAAAAATCCTGGAATGTTTTCATCTAAAACCTTAATTTCTTTTCGACTGAGGAAAGAATGACATGGATATCTTGGATGACATGGGGGTGAGTAAATTAGCAGCAAAAGTTTTTTTTTTTTTTTAAAGTGAACTATCCCTTTAAATAGCTATTTCTACCTGATTTAACCCTTAAAAATTACTTCTATTGCTGACCTTATTTAGTCAGGTGGACTCTGTCCTATTTAATAATATTTTGGCTTAAATAAAACCCATTTATTCAGATATTACATATCACATATAATAACATTTTTAGGCAACCAGACCAAACATATTTTGCAGTATAGGAAAAGAAATGTGAGAGAGTCATTCATTTAAACCTTCAACAATGTCAAATGATGGCGTGAACTGGGAAGAACTGTGACATTCTGACACTATATCCGCAGCTCCTTCCCATCAGTTATTAACGATATGTCTTTATTATGTATTCTGAATGCTCTCTGCAGACCCTCCAGTGGTGACGTTATCCATTGAGCCTCGCTCCGTATTGGAAGGAGAGAGAGTGACCTTCACCTGCCAAGCCACTGCCAACCCACCTATTATGGGTTATAAGTATGTCTCTTACTTAATGTGATGCTTAAAGTGTCTCCTTTTACATTCTGTGAGATGAAAAATTAATGACTTGTTTTATCAGGGAGATAAAGACGTCTTTTAAGTATTATTAAGCCCCATATATCTTCAGTTATTTTCTGTTACGGCAGCCGTACCCTTGAAGTCCTGTCTGTACTGTACATGCTTTAGGGTAGTTTCTTCATTAATCTGCTTATGCTTCTCTGACTGACCCCTTCTGGCTTGGCTAGGTGGGCAAAGGGAGGTGTGGTCATACAGGGGGCGAGAGAGAGTGTTTTTTTCACCAAGGCGGATCACTCTTTCTTCACCGAGCCTGTGTCCTGCCAGGTGTTCAATGCCGTGGGCAGCACAAACGTCAGTATACTCGTCGATGTCCACTGTGAGTATCAGCTTTGGGAATTCAGCGTGTGGAGCGCACAACCGAGAAAATCTTAATGTGAAATTTAGTATGTGAAAGCAGATCGCCAAATAATTCAATCGACTAATAATTAAAGATGTTTGTGTACACTGTGTGTCTGTATTGTGCAATGTACTGTATGTCTCTATGTAAATGTTTGTTCGTGCTATTTTGTATAGTTTGTGTGATTTCTATCTATCTATCTATCTATCTATCTATCTATCTATCTATCTATCTATCTGTCTATCTATCTTTATCTATCTATCTGTCCATCTCTGTCTGTCTGTCTGTCTGTCTGTCTGTCTATCTGTCTGTCTGTCTGTCTGTCTGTCTTTCTATCTATCTTATTATATCCTATCTGTCTGTCTGCTTCTATCTATCTTATCTATCTATCTATCTATCTATCTATCTTATCTACTCTATCCATCTTATCTATCTATCTGTCTGTTTGTCTATTCTATGCTATCTATTCTTATCTAATCTATCTATCTATCTATCTATCTATCGTATCTATCTATCTATATCTATCTATCTAATCTGTCTGTGTCTGTCTATCTATACTATCTATCTATCTATCTATCTATCCATCTATCCTATCTGGTCTGTTTGTCTATCTGTCTGTCTGTCTGTCTGTCTGCTCTTTCTATCTATCTATATATATCTATCTGTCTGGTCTGTCTATCTATCTGTCTGTCT